AGGGCTCAAAAGGGACATTTCAAGATATAGAACCCAATTCATCAAAAATATTTAAGAAAACTAAATATGCGTGCAGTTAACATTAGAGCTTTGAAATATATGAACCAAGAAGTAAAAGGAAAAAAAGAAAAATCCACAATTAAAGCTGAAGATTCCACACTCCTCTCTCAGCAATTACTGAAAAAAACAGCAAATCAGAGGAATAAATTTTGAAGAACACTATCAACTAATTTGACCCAATTAACATTTTTACAAAGTTCTACTCAGTAACAGCAGAATCATTCTTAAGGGCCCACAAAACATTCACTAACACAGATAACATTTTGCACTTCATAATAAATGCACAAAATACGTTCTTAGATCACAACATAATTAATTTAGAAATGTATCCAATAAATAGATCTAAAAAATTAACCAAATATTTGGCAATTATATAGGTCACAAAATTCACAAAGGAAATTCTAAAATTCTTTGAACTCTTAGGAACACAAAACAAACTTTGTAAAATGCAGACAAGGGAAATTTTAAATAGTAATTGCTCCTTTAGAAAAAGCAGGAAAATCTCTAACGCCAGAACAAAAGAAGGGATGGATATCACTATAAATCCCTCAAACATTAAGAGTAAGGGAATATATGGGGCGCCTGGGTGGCTCAGTTAGTTGAGCATCCTACTTTGTCTAAGGTTACGATCTTAGGGTTCACGAGTTCAAATCTCGTGTCAGGCTCTGTGCTAACATCTCAGAGCCCGGTTCCTGCTTCAGATTCTGTTGTCTCCCTCTCTCTCTGACCCTCCCCTACTTGTACACGCTCTCTCACTCTCTCCTTCCCTCCCTTTTCCTCTCCCTCCCTCTCTCAAAAATAATTATTAAAAAACAAAGAGTAAAGGAATATGCAACTTTATGCCAATAAAGACAACAATTTACCTGAAATGGACAAATTTACATGAAAGACACAAACTGAAGCTGTATTCAAGATGAATTAATATAAATCTGAATAGAGCAGTATCAAAGCAATTGAGTTCATCATTTAAAATCTTCCCACAAAGAAACTCCAAACCCAGAGGTCTTCACTAGTGAATTGTACCAAACACTTCAAGAAGCAGTAACACCAAATGTACGAAAATTTTTCCAGACGAGGAAATCTTTCCAACTCCTGCTGTTATCCAGATACAAAAACCAGATCCAACATTATTTTAGAAACTACAAACCAGGGTGCCTGGGTGGCTCAGTCAGTTGAGTGTCCAGCTCTTGGTTTCGGCTCAGGTCATGATCTCACAGTTCATGAGTTCAAGCCCCATATCGGGGCTGTGTTGCCAGCACAGAGCCTGCTTGGGATTCTCTCCCTCCCTCCCTCTCTCTCTCTCTGGCCCTCCACTGCTCATGCTGTGTCTATCTCTTTCAAAACAAATTAATTTTTAAAAAAATCTACAAACCAATACCTACTATGAACACAGATGATAAAAAGTTAATTAAGTTTCAGCAAAGAATCCAGCAATATATAAAGTGTAACAAATCATGATCAAGTGGGGATTATCTCAGAAATGCATGATTCTTTGGTTTGATACTCAAAAAAAAAAAAAAATCAATGTAACTGACTACATTAACAGATAAGAAAGGGGGAAAAAACATGTGATCATCTCAACATATATCAAAACTTGATAAAAATTCAATACTTATTCATGGTAAGAAAAAAAAATTCTCAGCAAGCTATGAATAGAAAATAACTTAATCTCATAAAGGGTATCTGTTAAAAACCTATAGCTAATTGGGCGCCTGAGTGGCTCAGTCAGTTAAGCATCCGACTTCAGCTCAGGGCATGATCTCACGGTTCATGGGTTTGAGCCCCACGTTGGGCTCTGTGCTCACAGCTAGCTCAGAGCTGGGAGCCTGCTTCAGATTCTGTATCTCCCTCTCTCTGACCCTCCCTTGCTTGCTCGCTCTCTCTCTCTCAGAAATAAATGAAAAATTAAAAACAAAAAAAACCCCTATAGCTAACATATTTATTTGTGAAAACATGAATGTTTTTGACCTAACATCAAGAATAAGGGAAGAATGTCAGCTCACCACTTTTATTTAACATTGCATGGGGATTACTAAGTAGGCACTGCAATAGAGCAAGCAAAAAGAATAAGATATAAAAAATTTAAAGGAGCAAGTAAAACAGTCTTTATTCACAGACAAGATGATGATCTACCCAGAACATTTGAGGACTATAAAAAAGTCACCAGAAATAATAATGAGTTTAGCAGAATCACAAATTACAAAGTTTAATATAAAAATCAATTATAAGTCTACATACTAACAATAAAATGAAAACTGATTTTCTTTACACTACCACTTACAGTAACATAAAAATATAAAATAGGGATCAATTTAACAAAATAGGTGTAATAACTTTACGTTGACAATAAAACTCTGCTAAGAATAACTAAAGATGACTTAAACAGAGAGAGGTACAAAGTTCATGCATCAGAAGACTCAACATCCTTAACAGGTCAATTCTCCCCAGTATAGTCTCTAGTATAAAAGCATTCACAACCAAAATCCCATCAAGCTTTTCTGTAAAATTGTCAAGCTGATTCTAAGATACACAGAAAGAAATAGAAAGGATGTAGAATAGAAAAACAACTTTGAAAGAGAAGAATAAGTTGGGAAGATTTATGTTACCCAATTTTAAGTCTTACTATAAAGCTACAGTAATCAAGATAGTGCAGTATTGCCATGAACAGATATACAGATGAATAAAACGAACAGAGTCCTAAAATAGTTGATTTTCAACAAAGGTGCCAAGGTAACTCAACAGAGAAAATTATAATATTTACAAAATTGCTTCTGGAAAAATTTGATTTTCATATGCAAAGAAATAAATCTTATCCCTTACCTCATACATTTGCAAAAATAAACTCAAAGTGGATCACAGACCTAAAATATGAGAGCCAAAACTAGTTCAAAGACATGAGGCAAAGGAAAAAAGGTAGGAAAATTTTTGCCCAATCTCTGTGCCAACCTCTCCAATTTCTACTCCAAATTAGGGCAGAATTATAGGGAAAATCCCTAATCTGAAGCCCTTCAGTCAACATGAGTCTGTTCAAAAGGAAAGAGCATTTCCCATCTAAGTACTCAGAGTAATTCCTAAGCAAGTAGTTATTAATTCAAACACAACCCTCAGAGCCATAAAAGCCTGCCATGAAGAATAAAAGACTGTATACATCCATAAAGCCTTGTGGAGGAAACATCATAAAGGATTCCCTAAAGCTTAAACAGGACCCAAAATATAACAGCTTAAGCTATGCCCACTCCACAGCCATCCCTGAGGTTCACAGAAGATGCAAAGTTCTTAACTATGGGCATCAGAATGGCTAAATTCCTGTAGTGCTTTAATTAAAATCATACAGTTTTGAGCAGTTAGTGGACAAAATAAATGTAAATAAGATGAAAAAGAGAAAAAACCAACATTCAAAGATTTACGGAAAACAAAGATTATATTTAAAAACATGAATTACACTACACTATTCCCATTCTGCCTATGTGTATGCAAGTTCGTTACCAAAGATACTTTGGTTCAGTTGAAAAAATAATGCCTTTTCTCCCAGGTCGCTACTGAAAGATACCATTAAAAAAAAAAAAACAACCCCACCTTTCCTCAGTCAAGGTTTTATAAGAAAAACACATAACCATAAGAAACTAGTATCAGAATAAAGTACTTTAACAGAGAACTCATTTTGTAAGTTCATAAAAGTTTTTTCTACCACTTAATACTAAAAAAAAAATTTTACACTTTATATTAAATAGCAAAACTCTTTTTTAAAACAATAAAAAAAATGTCAAGTAACCCAAGGATTTTTATTGACATAATCATCAGGCATGATCAATGATATCTAATATTTAAAATGTTAATGAAGGGTGACCTGGGTGGCTCTCAGTTGGTTGGGCTTCTGACTTTGGCTCAGGCCATGATCCTGTGGTCAGTGAATTTGAGCCCTGCATCAGGCTCTGTGTAGACAGCTCAGAGCCTAGAGCCTGCTTCAGAATCTGTCTGTTTCTCTCTCTCTCTCTCTCTCTCTCTCTCTCTCTCTCTCTCTCCGCCCCTCCCCTACTCACTGTCTCTCTAAAATGAAAATGTTTAAAAAAAATAAAAAATATATACTTTATAAAATGTTAATGTTGACTTAAAACAAAACAAAAACTACAGATGTAACACACTGGAACCATTAACATAGACCACTCCAAGCTTTTACGTCAAATAGCCTACTCCAGGGCTTTGCAAATAGGGCCTATGATGTAAGACGGCAGGGGTGCCTGGGTGGCTCAGTGATTCTTGGTTTTGGCTCAGGTAATAATCCCAGGGTCATAGGATGGAGTCCCACATCATGCTCCACACTGAGCATGGAGCCTGCTTGGGATTCTCTTCCTCTGCCCCCTCCCCTGCTCCCACTCTAGGTGTCCCTCTCTAAAAAATAAAAATTAAAAAAAAAAATTTTAAGGTGACAAATTCAAAGACACAAACATAAGGCTGCATTTAAAAAAAAAAAACTCTTAACTCTGCTTAGTTTTTTTTTCTTTGATCCTTCCTAAGGTATTTCAGGAAATATGGCTATATTTGTCTTTCATTTGAAAATCTTTCTCAGCTAATGTCTAAATCATGTCCTCAAACCCTCCCTTTCTCCTATTTATTGTCACAGTAAATAACGGACTACTTACTTTAGAATTTTTTTCTTTTTTTAAATAAGGGTAATTGATATGGAAGATGAAGTGGGTAAGATAAAGAAGTGTGGGATTATTTTAGCAATATCAGAAAAAATATACAAGAAACTGTCATAGTATAATATAATGCACTCCAAGTAGACTTTACAAATTTCCTTAACTCATCTACATTAAACCTCAAAATAAACTCCAAAAAGACTGCCATTCAAGCTCACAGAACAGTCTGATTTAAAATAAAAGAAAAAATTTCCATTGTGTTTATTTACTTCATAACATAGAAAAATGAAAATGTCTTACTAGAAATGATGTATCAGCAAAAAAGTGCACTTAATATGATCCTTGCAGAAAACTCTTCTTTGTTCCTTTTTCACAAAAGGCAATTCCTTAATAAAGCAAAAATTATATGGGTTAGTAAGTGTTCTTAACTCTAAAATAGAATTAAATATACATTTCATCATTACAAATTCCAACTCTCAACACTATGCCTGGCAGACAGCACAAATACTTGCTGAATAATAGAAAAATAATTTTTAAAAGTAATTTGTTGTATTTGTCTAATAAAATTAGCACTGAGAATTTCTAATGTCACTAACCCATTTTTCCAGAAAGTATTTCTTACATGTTCAGTAATATTCTATGTACTCCTAGATTCATAAATTGGCTTCCTACATCCCATTTTCCTATCCTCCACATCATTTGATATGCTTTATACTTGCTTGGTACAGCCTACTGAATATATGTTTTGCCAAAATAGCTGAAAGTATTCATAGTATTATGTTATTTAGAAAATTATCACAGGGTCAGTGATTTGCATTGCCATAAAATACGTTTGTATTCAAATACAATGTATATACTTGTAGCTTTCACTATCTTTTAAAAGGGAAAATGAAATGAAAATAGTGAACACAAAATGCCCAAAACAAACATAAAACTTATCAATGTCAATAATCCACATTAAGAAAGGGAACACTGGTCAATACTAACAAGTGGATTAGTGCATAAAGAATAATCCAGTTTGCTTGGAATAGTAGTAAGGCAGCTAAGGTAAAAAAGGGAAAGATGGTAAAACCAACCCACCCCCCCTTCCTCACCCAGATTGGCCAGGATCAATTATGATGCTAATCCAATAATTTAGAATTGCCTGGCTGGATAATTCTACCAACCCCCAAGTAAATCTGTTACATCAAATAAAAACGGTAATTTCTCCACAGAAATACCAGTCTTTTGAATCTGATTCAGCAATATTAATTACTACGGTACTATAATCTTGTTTCTACTTGAAATGAAACTTTCTCTAGAGGGGGGAAAAACACAAACTGCCAAATATTCTTTTTGTATTAATGAATTAAGAATTAAAAGCTTGAACTTTAAAACACACATATACACAAATAAACTTTTTTTGCAAGGTTAAAAAGACCTTGCTTTAAAAAGCCAATTTCAGCTTTTAATCTAATTACACTGAAATGTAGAAAAAGCTCCTTAAATACAGTTTCATTACCAACCAACTTCTAAAATCCAAAAATCCAAAGTGAAACTATTTTTCATGAATTCTCGATCTAAACAAAACTGAGTATTTTTAACACCGGCTTTGTGTCAGTGTCACAGAAGAAACTAAAGTTTAACTGGTTATTTACTGGGGTGCCTGGGTGGCTCAGTTAAACGTCCGGCTTCAGCTCAGGTCATGATCTCACAGTTCGTGGGTTGGAGCCCCACGTCAGGCTCTGTGCTGACAGCTCAGAGCCTGGAGCCTGTTTTGGATTGTGTCTCCTTCTCTCTCTGACCCTCCCCTGCTCACACACACTCTCTCTCTCTCAGAAATAAAAACATGAAAAAAATGTTTTAAAATAAATAACTGGTTATTTACTATCAAATTGCTAAACACAAATTTCATACATCCTAGTATATCTTCTTATATCAAAAATTCACTCTCAATTCTATAAATGAACTGTTTTTAATGACTTGTTTTGTACATAGTTCTCAAATAGTTTCTTAAAGGAACTATTCTAAAAATCAAGTTCTTTTACAATAATCTATAATGAAACACATTCTTGCCCTCAAAATAAAACCTAAACTGTTAGTGCTGCACTGTTATCATTAAATTTCATATACTGAACCTTCTAATCTCACTGCTTCTGTCCAGACAAGAGCTAGACAACCTGTAGGTACCTCCAATTGCTATTACTCCCAAATCTGGTTCCAACCAACCACCTGGCTCCCTCTACTTCTAATTAACCAACATTGTTGTTACCCTGGACTATAAGCCATTGCCTAAACTGTCAAGCTCTGTAATTCTGTTCAAGTTTTTACCTCTGCTGGAAAAACTCTTGCCCTGTCTCTAAAACAATCTTTCCCAGTTTTATGGCATCTTCTGTGACAGCAACTCAAGAATACCTTTACCATCAACATCACTTCCAGGAGGCAAAATTATAGTTAGTTCTGTATCGGTCTCTTCTATTATACTCTATGTCATTTTTAGAGAAGGAACTTTGTTCATTTTTATATCTCCAATATCTAGCCGATAACTGGAATACAATTCAATTCAGAAAATATTTACTGAGCATCCAGTATATTCCAGACACCTTTCTAGCTGATAGGGATAAATCCCTATATCTATGCCTGACCTCATGGAGCTTACATTCTAGTGGGGAAAACCTACAATACACAGTGAATGAGGAATATGTATTATATACAACAGGTTAGTAGAAAGACCTTAAAAAGAAGAAATAGAGCAAGGAATTAAGTAATTTCATAGAGAGGGGATTAAAATTTGAGAAAAGATATCCAGGGAAGACCTAATTAGGTGATAATAAAAGAAACTGCAATAGCAGCAATAACATTTGAGTATTTATCATATGCTAACCAGTATCCTAACTGGTTTACATGAATCAACAGAGGTAAAGCCAACCTATTATCCTTAAAAGGAAACTGAAATGGGGTGGCTGGGTGGCTCAGTCAGTTAAGCTTAGACTTTAGCTCAGGTGGTGATCTCATGGTTCGTGGGTTCAGGCCCCACATCTGTACTGACTACTCAGAGCCTGAAGCCTGCTTCAGATTCTGTGTCTCCTTCTCTCTCCGCCCCTCCCTTACTTGCTCACTCATGCGTGCACTCTCTCTCTGTCTCTCTCAAAAATAAACATTAAAAATTTTTAAAAAAGCAAACTGAAATACTAAGAAGGTACCTGCCAACGTCACATAGCTAAGTTAGTCCAATGGTGAAGCTGGGATTTAAACCCAGGCATGCTTTTAACAGCTAAACCCAGTTCATCCTTTTATTAAATGAATTAAATACATGAAAAACATAAATGCTCCTGTATACAGCAATGGACTAAAAAGACAGAGAAGCAAATTTCAGTCTCAGAGGATTGATACATTTGAGCAGCTCCAGTACATCAATACCTACATACGACAGATACCCTGACAAATACAGGTGGGTGCCTGCTGTGAACAAGAATGATAAACACTGATAATTTCTCAATTACTTTTAAACTAAGATTTAAACTTCTATATCATAATTACCAGAACTAAAGCTTTCATAAGACAGTATCACAAATATCACATGGATAGGTCATTAAAAAATAATAGCTTTAAAGAAGTACTCTGAAACAAATGAAAGAGTACTTTAAAGACACTATCATTTTAATAATAGTTAAATGTCAAATATCGTCATTTATGCTGTGGCACAAGTCACAACCAACTTCCAATTTCCCATATTAACCAGAAGGGTTAAATGAAATGAGTGAGATTCAAACTCCTCTTTTCAAATATCTCAACTACATATTATGAAGCAAACAGATAACACCTAATACAATTGCTGGTAATAACTGAAGACCTGAATGACCCAAGATAATTTGCTCCCTAATGCCCATCTCTTGCTATATTAGCTTGTTAATCAAATGCTTAATCAGCGAATGCCAATAAATTAGAAAGCAAAATGAAACCAAAGTGCTCCACAGCATTAACATTCCTAGTTTCAAGTCTTAAGGACCTAAATTCCTAGGCATCTATTCTAGTCTTGATGTAAAAAAATATAATTATGAAGAAAATTATGGCTTTATGTTTGAAATTATCAAAATTTCACTGAACCTAAGGAGGTTTCAACAGAATCCAACTTCAGCTCAGGTCATGATCTCACTGTTCATGAGTTTGAGCCATGCATCAGACTCTATGCTGACAGCTTGAAGCGTGGAGCCTGCTTCAGATTCTTTGTCTCCATCTCTCTCTGCACCTCCCTGCTCACCTGTCTTTCTCTCTCTCAAAAATAAACATTAAAAAAAAAGAGGTTTCTGTACGAAAACAAACAGCTTTAAAATCAATCCCGATTAAGAGAAAAATGAAACAGGACAAAAAACTTACCTATATCTATCTATCTAACATAAATAAATATATACATGTCTATAAACACAATAAATGCTACATATTTGCTCAAATATTAATTTCATTTTGTAATGAAAACTTAGGTTTAGCATCACTGGCATTTTTTACTTCAAGTGAGGGTCAGCTCTCACACATGAACATCAAACTATTCACACCTTAAAAAGATTTTTAGTACCAGCCATGATGTAGTAACTAAGTAACAGACATGCGCTCCCAATGAACTCAACTAGAAAACTGATCAGATACATAAAACTATTATTTTAAAACACTGGACACCAAGCAGCTGAACACTGAGATACCTGAGAAAATTTTGAAAAAGTATTCCCTCAAATAGCTGTATGCAAGACATCAGAATGGTTATGCAGGAATGGGAAGCCAAGAGTAATATCGTGGACTTAGTAAAACAGACAACAAAATTTAGGGAGACTGAGGTAATGGGAATTTGAAGAGCAGAGTAGCAGAGAGGATGCAGCTCAAGAAGGGAAAGAGCACTCCTGAAATCTGCAGAGGAGTTTCTAGAGCAGCTCTGCACAAAAGAAGCAACGTGAACCTAAAATGTAATTTTAAATTGTTTAGTAAGCACATTTTATTTTTTTTTTTAATTTTTTAATGTTTTTTATATTTTATTTCTAGGAGAGAGAGAGAAAGAGAGAGAGAGAGAGACAGCGTGAGCAGGGGAGGGTCAGAGAGACAGGAAGTCGGCTCCAGGCTCTGAGCTGGCAGTCAGCACAGGGCCCGACGCGGGGCTTGAACCCATGAACCACGAGATCATGACCTGAGCGAAAGTCGGACGCTTAACCGACTAAGCCACCCGGGCGCCCCAGTAAGCACATTTTAAAAGTAAAATAAGGGGGCACCTGGGTGGCTCAGTAAATTAAGCATCCAACTCTTGGTTTCAGCTGAGGTCATAATCTCACAGTTCATGGGTTTGAGTCCTACATCGGGCCCTGGGCGGACAGCATAGAGCCTGCTTAGGCTTCTTTCTCTCTCCCAACCTCTCTCAAAATAA